CCCATGGATAAACATCCAATGGTAGATTCGTCGTAGATTAACTCTTAGTAGTGTCTACACACATCTCACACAACATCACACATCTCACACAACACTCAACGTACACACACCTACACACACACATACACATACAGCGATAAAAGTGTGAAAGACCCTCAGTCCGTTGAGGGCAAAAAGTGTGAAAGACCCTCAGTCCGTTGAGGGCAATCGATCAGGAGACACTAAATTTCCTAAACTACTGAGAACACATCTTTCCAATGAGAACGCTCGCTCCGGTTCAGCAATGCCCTACTAGTATCTTTTGTAAGTTTCTTGGAACGATTTCATGACTGGATCGAGTTGAGCTTTCGCTCTTTGGATACCGTTGTCTCTACGACGCTTCCCAGTTTTGACGTTATTTTAAAATAGCTGTTCCTTGAACACTTGACTACCGGTACCTGGTAGCTAGTAGCCAGCTACTCGATACTTTTACTTTTTATGCAGGGAGTCGAGTGGCGAGTCGAGTCGATCGCATCGAGTGACGGTCGAGTGGAGCAAACTTTTTGGGATGGGACAAACATAACCCATCGCATTCAAGCCCAATCCAACTACATCCACAGGCCAAACAGTCGCGCCATCTTCGCAGCCGAAAGCTAAAGTTGTGCGACCAATTTTTAAATAAAAAGCTGCTACCAGAGCGGCACACCGAGTGCCCACTATCATACAGGAACGACAAGGCAACCGACGTTACTGGTAGGACATTCCTAAGCCTTCGTCTCAACTTCTTCGTTTTCTGTGATGGCAGGTCCTAGGCATCGGCTGCTTTCTCTGCTACTTTCTCTGCTACTTTCTCTGCTTCTTTCTCTGCGTCCTCCTGAGCATTAGCAAGGGTGGCGGTGAGCTTCAGCTGCTCGTCCTTTTCAATCTGCTTCAACTCCTCTTCCTTATCTCGTTTCTTTGATTCGATATCGGCGGCGCGAGCGAAAGCCTTTTTCTTCTTGTCCGCCTCAGTACCGGCTTCGGCTGCCCTACGAACAGCCACTCGGGCGTCTCGGTCCACTTTGTACTTGTCAAAGTACTCCTTTTTTTCAGCCTTCTTCACAGCAGCTTGTTGGGTTTGCAGAGCTTCTCGTTCAAGACGGGGCATGGGGGTGCCAAAATCCGAGGGGACGACCAAACCGTATTGAGACGACAAAGCTTGGATCTTGTAGAGCAAGGACTTGCGGACATTTTCATTGCAGGTTTCCAAGAGCCCGGCGGTCTTATCCGTCAAGACGGTGGACTGGATGGCAGCTTTGGGGTCATCGTTGGACTTGACGTTCTGGAGCATCTGAGTGATTTTTCCGCGCCGATTCAAGTCACCCTGGCTGACACGCATCGTCATGAGAGGAGAAGCATCATTGCGAACCGAGAGAGGAGTGGCGGGGCCAAATGCAGATGCCAGCAAAGGCAAAGTAATTGAGAGAAGAGGACGAAAGAACATCTTGATGTTTGTTTCCAAATGGTGAGAAATCTGTGACCTTTATGAAAGTGGTGGTGCTACGGTGGCTCCTGGAGCCAGCTTTTTGATGTTTACGGTCCAAGCAAGGCGAGCAACGTCATCTTGCTCCGTTCTGGATCTTTTGTCATTGGGTGTGTTGGATCTTTGAAGGACCTGTTGCAGCTTCGTATCTCAGGTAGCCGCGGTAAACCTTTCCAAAGGAGTGGTAAAAATTTTAACTCTATGTTTACTCTAACTACCCGTTCATAGCAGTCTTGCGGCATTCTCGTTATTTTGGATCTAATTCATTTCGTGTCACAGCTTTTATTGTTGACATACTAGTACTCTAGCTAGCTAGCTACGGTAGTACCTGTTGACATCCGCCATCCACCCCCTTCCTCTTTCTAACGGCACCTCCTTTCGGCGCGAAGTTTGATGAAGCCCGCGCGGTGAGATTCCGGTGCTACGGCAGAAACAACAACCTCCCCACGCATCACATACAATGGTGCTCTACTCGAGTTGCTTTATACAATCTTTGCGTACATGTTTCTCACTCTTACTTCTGTCCACAAGCGCAATCACATCCACAGAGCATGTTGGGGGATCAAACTAGAGCTCTGGGACGATGCAAAGTCTTGCCAGAATTCTTGTACCAAGAATTGATGTCCCCGCTAGATTGATTCGACGGTTCCAGCGCGTCATTCGTGGCTCCCCATTCTGTAGGCACAGTCCCTGACAGCTGCACATTATTTTGAAGGATTCAAGAGCTTCAAGTTAGTCAATCTCCCATATGCACTTGGCGGCGACGACGATAGCTCATTGTGCTGCACCTGGAACTCTGTCATATTCATAAGATTGCCAATTTCACTCGGGAGGGCTCCTGTGAAATTGATTGGCATCCAAAAAGAGATGCTGTTCGATACTATACGATACCTTGTACCGGTACCGTACCGCACAGTCTCTCGCTGTTGAGGCTGAAACGCTGCAACCTCCTGAAGCAAGCAGTGATAAACAAACATCCATCACATCGCGTTGGCTGTTGTGACTATCAAACCCCTCTGGAACGCCCTGATGCAAAGGGTGCAACCTACTCTTGAGTGTCGAAGCCAGCGCCTCCTCCCAATAGCTAGCTGCCAACTTTTCAAAAGAATACGTATGGGCTCTCACGCTTTTGCAACACTTGTAACCTATTACCACTCTCTTGTTCTTACGTGGCATGTCATAAAAGTGATTCCAGCATGTGACGAACACTATCGTCCTTGTCGAGGATGTAAGTTACACATTCGGTGAAGTAGTTCATAATCTCAAGCTGAGTAGGGTCCGAAGGTTCCAAGACACTGAAGGACATGACGAAGAACACCAAAACATAAATGTTCCCAAGGACAATATCAGATGCCAGCTGCTCTGGGCTCAAATCAATCCCGCGCTTGACGAGCTCACAGCGGTAATGCTCCAATAGTTCGTCATCGTGCGCCTTTCTCGTGCTGGGGTTCAAATTGCTGGCAAAGAAGTACGCGACATCTTGGCTCCAGTTTCCCCGAATGACTGTTTGCCAATCCACCGTTACAATGTTCTGGTTGTCACTATCCTCTTTGGGTATCAGGAGATTGTATGGATTCATGTCGCCGTGAAGTAAAGTGTAAGTGCAACTATCAATTTTCTTGCACCATTTGTCTGAGTTTTGTACAAACATCTCGATGGTGTCAATGTTTTTGGGTGACATGATGGAAACAAGACGTGGTTTTCCCTTGGACTTCCACATTAGCTTCATCATGGTTCCCCATGTTTGTTCTCGTCGCGCAGAGTTGTTGACGAGCCAGTCGAATGACATGAGCTTGGGGTCTTGCCAATACTGTGCGTGAAGCGCTGCAATCTGGCTTAAATGAGACTTTGTTTGCGACACAGACATCGTGACCCCCAGCTTTTGGTGGCGCACATTTCGAATTTCTTCCATGATCAGAAGCCCATTGTCTGTGGCTGCGTCATAAGCCTGGAAATATACCTTTGGGTGAGGTATGACGCTCTGGGCTTCTTCTGAGAAGTCTCGAAAGAAGCCATGTTCAGTTTCATGGACCAGGGTTAGTGATCCTACCACGCGGCCTTTGATGCTTCGATCGTTGCATTTGACAATCAATGATGATGGTGTGAGCGTGGATTCCTTCGCTGTAGAAAGTGTCATGCGATATAGCTCAGACATTTGGCCAACCTCGCCAAAGGTAGATAACTCAAAGCTTCGAATTCGGTTGTCTTTGGAAAGGAGCTCTTTCTTTTGAAGCAAATGGGTGAGCCATTCCACAGTGATATTGCTCGGCGACAGACCAAGCGGCACTGGGGGTTCCGAGTCTCCTGTCTCCGAGGATGATTTGTCCGTCAGCAGAGCCACGCTTGGTGCCAATGATATGAAATATTCAAAAGCATTCTGGTAGTACCCACGGAGCGCGAAGCGGAAGAGCCTGAAAAGTAGCGAAGCAGTCTCCATGTTGGTTTGTTGTAGCTGCCCTGTCTGTCAAGTTTTATGAGGGTGTCGGGGTGTGGTGAGAGAGCTGTGAGAGTTGGCTGCAGTTGTTGTTTTGTTCGGGCTGAGAAGAGTTTGTGGGGAGTGGGAGCTGTGAGGCTGAGTGAAGCTGTGAAGCTGTTGCTGTGTCTGTGCAGCCTCTGCGCTGCCCTCTTTCCGGCACAAACGTCAAAAAATGGCCAATATTATTTAAAACGCAGGGTGTCGTGATTGATATGGTATGCATGTTTGGAGGGTGCTATTCTGCCACAAGGAGTGATGTTCGCTATCATGCCGTACGGTACCATTGTACCCACGACGACACCACTGAAAGATTGAGGGCTCGCTCACGACGTACATGTAGTAGACTGGAGCCAATGCTGCACTGGTCGCACCAACATTACAGAGGCAGCGGTTTCTTCGGTCCCATTTCCCAGTTGCGCTTTTAATTTTAAAAGCCAATGCTTTGCAACTCTTTTGTGGTGTTACTACATGTACGGTGCCAGTGAAAGGGAGGAACGCCCTGCAAACCCAAACCCAATGAGCTAGGGAAGTAAATGGAAAGGCCAGGTTTGAATCATTCAAGTTTTGCTATGTCACAATATACTATCTATGTATTGGCTTAATTTTTGAAAACCTTCTTGATGGGGGAAATGACCAGCTTCTTGAAGCTCCACTTTTTCTTCTTATGTTGTTCCAATGGTTCCTTCTCTAGGAGGATATCATCTTGGTCAGAAGAAGTATCAGATTCAATGGGTGCAACAGCATTCGGCCACTGACGGAAGCGGAAGAAGTGGTTGCAGTACCCAGAAGGATTCTTTGCTAGGTATTGTTGATGAGCTTCATGAGCAGGATGAAACTCAGTGTACATCAAAATCCCAGTTTCAATAGTGTCTCGATGATAGGAAGTGACGATTCCACTGGTTACTGCTTGCTGCAGTTCTGATATGACTGACAAAGCAATACTCTTTTGCTGATTATCCGAGCAGAAAATGGCAGATGCATACTGGGTTCCCACATCATTCCCTTGTCGGTTTCTGGTGGTGGGATCATGGAACAGGAAGAAAAAGCGGATCAGTTCTTCCATCAAGGAGGGATCCGCCAGTGTCACATCCAAGACCTCCACATATCCTGAAGTGCCACTGCAGACTTCCCGGTATGTAGGAGGGCTCTTGCGCTTCATGGGTGTTGGATTCATAAAGCCAACTTGTGCAGACTGAATGCTATTGGGATGTCTCTTTTGGAAATCACGGACAATGAATTTTTCAGTTCCCCAGTAGCATCCTGCTGCCAAGCTAATCTTGTTGGACATGTTGGTGTTGGCGTTGGCGTTAGTGGTGGTTGGTTGCACGGACATGGTGTTGTTGTTGTTGCTTTTGCTGTTGATAGTTTTTTGAGTTGTAGTTTGTTGATTTTGTGAGGGAAGGAGGTTGCAAACTGAATAGGAAGGAAAGTGGAAGAAAACCGCACGAGCATTGAATAAAGAGAGAGGACGACCCAAGAAAACAGCAGGAGCACTTACTTGCAATTTTTATGTAGTGAAGCTTCGCGCGAAAAGGGCGCATGTACCTCTGCACCTCTGCAGCCCCGATTCATTCCTCACTTTTGTTCTTTTCTTGGATCGATCGATCTTGTGAATATGCAAATTGATCCACTCCAAGTGAGCTTTAGAGCAATAACACTAGTAATGCTGCTTCAAAGCCCAACTTGGGGTGCCTTCTAGTTCTAGCACCATAGGCACAGTCACAGGCTAGTCCACATGAGCTGATGTTGTAGGTCACTGAAAGTAGCTCTCGAGTAGCCCACAAGATATCGATTCAAGAACTTATCGTGTGAAGATCTCACAGTCTACCTGTATGGACGAAACGTGTGCCCGAGATACAGGTAGTGGGAATGAAGAAGGCTCAGCGAGTAAATAGTGAGTCCTCAGTCGAGTCGAGTCCTGGGTCCAGAGGGGAGGTGGTGGGAAAGCTGCGGGAAATGGGATTGAATCCAAAGCTTTAACGTTACTTTCTAATCAATTATCTTTTAGTGGTGTCTCTAAAAGACATCAGCGTGACTCAACGCCTCGCTGAATCGCCTAAATAGGCGTAAGCTAGATGAACAAGTGCCTCCTTTCGCGTAAGTAAAAGCCAGCCAGGTCCCATTAGTCATCCTTCTCAGAGGCTGCCAGCTGTATTTATTTAAGCCTAGCGTGACTCAAGAAACCACTGAGACCGTGCCAAGGTGGTCTTCCCAAATCTGATTGGCGGGAGTGTGCAACGTCAGCCGTTGGGGACGCCCACCGGTACAATTCAATTCTGCTTTGCTGCCTTGTGGTAACGGTGGCTCGTCGATCGTGTCCTTCAACTGCAAGCAAGGTGCAAAGCAAAGGAGATGCTCGTGGCTACTTTTTGCAGTCCAGGTTTGCATGCTTGGAAGTCTTTTTTGTGCGTACCACCACCAACTTTGGGCGGTTCATCAGAGCCACTTGTATCGCTCCTTCATTCATTCTTGTTGTCTCCTGGGCATTACCGCGGAAGCCAAAGCTATCGGACGGAGTAGGTTTCTTACTAGACAGCTAGATAGAACAATAGAGCTTCCAATCTTTCTGGTTGTCTCTCCATTGAAACTAGTCTTCTATCGACAATACTCCTCCAAGACTTTTTCCTTTTTTAGGCGAACGCAAACAATCCACTCGAGTAAAGCTAATAGCAAAGATGGATCAAAAAGAAGAGCCAGAAACTAATGGTCCGCAACAACAAGACAGTCTGAGCGATGCCTTGAATGGTGCGAGCAACATGCTGGAGCGTCTCTGGAAGTCGCATCCATGGCAATCCGACGTCCCGGTGGAAAAGAAACCCTCCTTGGGACCTCCTCCTTCGACAGGTACTACCAAAGGGGCTAGTACTATGAGCATGAATATGAATAGCATGTGGAGTCATCCTTGGAAATCGACTACTACTAGTACTAGTACTACCGCCGCCGTCAAGTCACCCGAAAAGCCATCTGATTTGTCCGACGAAATCTCCTTGGGAGAAGACGTAATACTTCACAAGCAAAAGCAGCAAGAGGAAGAGGAAGAACGAGAACGATTGGAAAAGCAACAAATGGAAGATGCCGCAAAGAAAGATGAAGAACAAGCAGAGAGTCAACGAGTGACTTTCAAAGCAGAAAAGGCAGAAGCAGTCGAATCAGTAGAAGCACCAGTTCCACCAAAGGAGGAAGAAGTCGCCACAGACTCCACTACGTCTTCTGCTGCTACTACTGCTACTACAACTTCCACCAGTCGACCTCCTACTGCACAAACAGTACAACAACAACCATCACTCGATTTGCTCGACATTGATTTTGACAATCCCGAAGATGCAGGCGCTCTCAAAGAAGCCATTGGAGAAGAAGTTTTGGGCTTGTGGGAATCTCAAGGACTCTACCAAGACTTGCCGGAAATTCGACAAGAAATCTTGATATCCGTCGTCGAAACCAAATTCAATGCCTTGAAAGAAGAACAGAAACAACAACGAGAGAATCCTCCGGCAGTCATGTTGGGGCAATCGTTGAGCGAGTTAAATGCCATTGCCGAAGAAGGAGAAGAAGATGAAGAAGAAACCGACGAAGATACTATTCCGCCACTAGCACCACTTCCACGACAGGACAAACTACAACCACCACTGGCACAACAACCCGTCAGTCAAGACGAACCACACCAGCAACCACCATTATTGGTACAACCCGTCATTAGTCGAGACGACTCTGCTGGACCCAACACGGCTCTCAACGATGACGAAATTGCCGAACGAGCTTCTCTGGTCGTCGAAGAACTAGAAGGTCGACTCGCCATGGTCGACACCAGTGAACATGCCTTTATTGAAGCCGAAGGAAGACTCGGAAAATTGCCACCGCAAGATGTCAAAATCAAGGACATTCATGCCTTTAACAAGTACAAGTTACACGATGCCGTCGAACGCCGCGTCTCACTCATCTTTACCGGCGATCATCACATTGTCGAACGAGAAAAAAATTCATCCGAAGAACTGCTGCTGCGACAAAATTCCATGCCCGAGAATGACATTAGTGAAGATCTCAAAAAGGAACATGCCGGTCTGTCACGACAAGCGTCCATGCCGGCATTGTTGCCATCGTCCGACAACAACGATGCACCCAACAATGTGGCCGAGTTTAAACAACGTCTGAGCACGAGTTTCTCGGCCTTTGATGCCTTTGTTATGACCAAGCAAGAACAAGAACGAAATGGACTGATGCCGGTCGTGTCCGATGACGAATGGACCGAATACGAAGAAGTGGTAGAAGAGGTTGTCGACGAAGAGGAAGATATCAAGGAGGATTTGAAAGCTTTGGCCGAAGATATGGACGCCACTCTGAAACAATTCAATTCGGCCTATTTGCCGCCACGGTCCGGTGGCATGGCAGCTGCGGCAGCCACCATGGGCAAGGTAGCCGATGAGGATGACGCCATTGAAGAATACACCGTCATGGAAGAAACGGTCGTGGATGATTCCGAGATTGATGTCGACGAAATTAGTGAAAAGCTCATGCGCGATGCCAGCAACAAATCAGAAGCTGGTTCCACTGACGCCGCCAAGGGCACCCCGCCACGAAACAAGGTATCCAGAACAGTCTCCAAAGACACGAGTTACATGGAAGTCACCGTCATGGACGATACGGGTCACACGCATCGCCAATCCATGGTGAGTAAGAGCGGTGTCCTGGACCCCTACAACAACAACAACGGCCATCGACACTCTACTCGTAGTAGTGGTTTGGGTGCTGCCATGGAGGCCTCCTTTCCCACGATTACCACACAGGATTTGGATGACGATGATATTACGCAGCTTACATTCGATCATACCGTAGATGGTGCTGCCAGCATGACTCAGGATCATCTCATTGCGAGTGCCTACCTCAACCGAGACAACAAAAACAGCAACAACAACAACAATGCCAGCAGCAGAAGCAACAGGTCAAGACCTTCTCTTGCCAGTGGAAAGACCAGTCCTACTTCCAAGAGCAGGGTACCAGCTTCACCAGGCAGACAGTCTGCTGTCGATAGCCAATACACTGATCCCACAGGAACAACAATGCCAATGGACGAGTCTTCCATGTCACAGCGTCATGGCGAGGCGTCGATTGCCTCATCCACTGCTGGTTCCTCCAAGGGAGCAGCGCTCAACAAGGCCGTTGCCAAGATTCTTCGAGTAGACATCTGGAGTCCCAAGGCCAGCCTTGTTTCTTCTGCTTTGGAACGATTGTGTCAAGCGGCCAACCATGGGTCAGCGCAGCGAAAAAACATTGCTCGACTGGGTGGTGTCATGGCGATTGTTCGGGCCATGCAAATGCATCCTACCAACGTGGCCATTCAAGTGAATGCATGCGAAGCACTGGAACATTTGTCCGTAGACCCAGACACTCAGGCCGCGACGACCGAAGTGGGGGGCATGGCTGCCATTGTACAGGCAATGCAACGGCATCCAGACAACCAACAGGTCCAAACCGCGGCCTGCAAGGCGTTGGCTCCCATCACTGCTCCGAACAAGCACCACGGTCCTGCGATAACAGGCATGTCCGACTCTGATGATGAGGACGACGAGCCCAATGACGGCGTCGTCAAGACGCTTGTGACAGCGATGAACTCACATCCGAAGGACACCGTTATCCAGGCCAAGGCATTTGGGGCGTTGGCCAACCTGTGCACGGACAACCAAGAACGGCTGCAAGAGCTGTCCGAATGTGGAGGTCTCACTGCCATGACCTTGGCTCTGCAACGGCCCTGGAAGTGCAAGACGGATCAACACGAAGCAATCTCGACACTATCCATCCTGTTGCGATCACTAGCCGAACTGGACAATTCTCAACATTCCTGCTAAATGTCGCAGTTAGATACTTTTCTCTTAGTCTCCATCAACACCTACCACCAAATTACACAATCAATGAAGTGATACAGCAAGGTCTCACTGCCATGACCTTGGCTCTGCAACGGCCCTGGAAGTGCAAGACGGATCAACACGAAGCAATCTCGACACTATCCATCCTGTTGCGATCTCTAGCCGAACTGGACAATTCTCAACATTCCTGCTAGATGTCGCAGTTAGATACTTTTCTCTCAGTCTCCATCAACACCTAAACTACACAATCAATGAAGTGATACAGCAAGCTCAAAGCTCACAGTACATTTTTCAGTCACCTCCTAAGTTATGCATTACGCTTTATTATTATTAGTGTTACATAAGAAACAAGTCTCCCTCAGTTGTTTGACGGTGCTGCATCAAAACCCCTCTGAAAAGAATTCACTTTCTTATCCTTGAAACTGGCTGAGGGGCAATCCAACGAGGACGCTCCGTTTCAGATTGTCTGAACCAAGCACATTGATCCCTTTGCTTGGGACCATACCCAAACATACCCATTGCTTGGCAGCTGTGAGGGTACTGTGGCCATATTCAACAGCATGGGCATGGAAACGACACCAGCCTTCAAAGCCACCAACTTCAAGGTGGAATAGGAAGGAGGAAACTTTGAAGTCCGGGCTGACATCGAAAAGACCCAAGTGTAGAGTACCTACACACTCACATCCATCACATGTGAACTGTGGGTGGATACATCCACGACTGGTCATCAGTCCAAGATTTTGGAATATTGCGAGATCAAAGCCTTTTCATTTGATACATCGGGAGCAACTCTCAGTGGGGGCACAACTAATACCACCACTGTTCCCACACCCAATGGTGATGTTGGAATCAATGCTAATATCGCAGACTGTGGATTCGATTCATTTGTGAATGAGGAGTTGGAAGGAGCTTCGATGAATGCCCTTGGCCATTATTTCCTTCCCATGGTGACTGAGGATTCTGTAGCCTTTGCGGTTTGAGAGAGCAAAGCACAGCCGTCGCCACTTCCTTCTTGATTATCACGAGATTTCTTCATGGGAGGACACCTCCTTGATCGATCGATCGTTGGTACTGGTACTAGTAGTTACACAGTCTCTGAGGCACCTCCTCTCGGCAATCTGGTGCCATACCAAAACTTTGTCAATGCGCGAAGTTAAAATTACTTCCTACGTGTGGGCTTAAAACCGCCGTGGGTCACCAAGCAAATTGGTACTTCGGACTATCCTTGCTTCACCCAACATTGGCCATGAAGGTATGTGTATAATGGTAGACAATGACTGGAGGGTTCTTTTGTTTGTTTCGTTTTGCTGCTCCGTGGAGACATGTTTCTTCAGTTTCTGGTGTTTGGTTTTGTCATGTAAGCAGCCGACTGGGCAAATGTATATGCAACGTGGATAAAGATTCTGTTTTGGCTTTGCTGGGCGCTCTCCAGGGAGGCAAGCCAGGCAAGTCCTCTATTTCAGAGGAACCACAATAGTGGAATGAAAGGTTCTGCGTTAGTATCCTCCAGGGAGCGCCAACTCTAGATCACCGGTAGCCATCACGTCGAAAATGCAGGCGTCCTTGGAGAGCTCATCCCAGTTTTCGCAAGCTCTTTCCGCATCTGCTCTTGAAATTGGCTCTTCACCTAGACGACGTCCTTTGGAGGCCGTGGGCGAGGGCAGAAGACACTTTGCTGGGTATTGAGGCGAACGATCAGCGTTTTGAAAGATCATGGGTTCGTCGTCGCGGACTGCAAAGTAAAACATTGGATTTAGAGCAATCGTAGGATTACGCACCATTGCCCTCTTGTTGCAAGACGTACCTTGCCACTCTTGGCCAAACTCATTGGGATCCTTCAAGATTGTGACGCCATCTCTACCTAACATGTCGCCGGTCTCAAGAGTGCCCATAAGACCTTCGCTTCCCTCAAAGTGATCTATCGACCTTGATCCATGCTTGAACTTGACCGAAACAATGTCCTTGTTCGTTTTGAGGATCACGAGAGTACCATCGCCAGCATCAATGGTGAAGGCATGGTTGTTTTTGCCCTCCTCGGTGTGAGTAACGTTGTAGCCAGCAATAGTACCTGGCAACTCAGCCCCATTGACTCCCTTCAAGAAATATTGTCCAAATCCAAAGACCTCAATCGTCTCTTCGTCGCCGATCCTGACGGCGGCGGTCTCGATATAAGAGTAGTCGTATCGAATCTTTGTCCTCGCTTAGTTGAAGCGCAGGCTCTGAGTGCCCAAGCATGCCACAGATTCAGACTTAACTACTTCTCACGTCGGGCACTTACCATGGATTACCATTCCTTTGCCCTCTGCAAAGTTTGGAGCTTTGAGTAAAACAAGATCACACTCTCCATGATAGTCAAACCTGAAAGATTTTGAGGGGGTCAATTTTGAGATTGATGATGACACCGCTCAGTGTCTGTATTCAATTCAAGCCAAAAGAAGTCCACGTACCATTCTCCACTCCACTTCTTAATGTGTGGCTCTCCAAACATTCCATTCTCACACGGTGGACAACTGATGGATTTGTCATCAAGCGGGCATTGCTGGCATTGAGGGCACGATTCTGTTTGTGTTTGGAGCTCGCGCATGAATTTGGGCTGTGAACTCTCTTCAAGGCGACGACGGCTTTGGAGCACAGACAAGTCATGGATCAGACGAGATGGGAGAGTGACGACACTTCACAATAGCTGAACTTACGCCGGAAGACAAACGCCAGTGGGAAAACCGAATAGTGTAATTTCGAAGCCCCGCGACCACCGATGGCGCCAGCAAGTGCACCAACTCACTACTGCGCCTCCATATAAAAGGAGCGGGTCAATACAGGATCTGTTGTCATAGCACAAACCTTTAATATCTAAAATTTTCCATACGATCGCATCTGTCTTTTGGATCAACAAGGAGGAAACGGCAAGCAGAGCCCAAAACTTTCCAAAACGCATGGTGGAGTGATGTTACTTCGATATGAATAGAAAGGAAGCGGTTTGATCCAACCCAAATCAATATTGTGTAACCTCAACCAATCCAACGGTAGATATCTTCCCCTCTTCCACCGTCTTCTAGTTACTAGAAACCAAATAAGCCACCATAGAGACTCGTGATTGTAGAAGTTTCGCAACTACTGAAGCATGAGGACTCGTGATTGTCCCCGAAGGCTGCAATTAGTGATGCGCGAAACCTTTGGAGAGCAAAGTTGCACTATTATAGGTGGCTGAGCTTCTCGAAGCATTTGATAGATTCGATCCTTCAAAATAGCCCCGGCACAGCCCAGCAAATCAGGCAAATCTTGAGAAGACTCTCTGAGATTCTCAAAGCATGGTTCTGGTGTAAGTGGGCATAATTTTGACAAATACATTCAAGCCAATACATGTGCAAATACCGGTACCGGTACCTGGAAAATGAGTTGCTGCCGAAAGGAAAGAGTAACTGTGACCGAGTTGGACTTGCAGGTGCGCAAGAATCGAATCGAATCGAATGATTCAATCGAATGATTCAATCGTACTTCTCTCTCGGCTACCGGTACTGCAAGTGTGGAGGTGCGTGCGTTTATGCGGGGAATTCGTGAGTGAATGGTCATTTGTGTCGCTATGACCTGTAATCCGAAAGGCCTTAACAGTCCAACGGCTTGTGAGGAAACTGCTGCTGGTACCAATTTCTACGTGGCGCCTACGTTGCACTAACGAAGGTCATACGAAGGTGGGGTCTTGCTTGGGAATGTTCCACTTGCAAAAAGGAAGCAATCGAATGAATCGAATCGCGCTTCCAAACCACATCCTTCCGCCTTCCGAGGTCCCCAAACAGTTTTCTTGCATAAATTGGCCAGATCCCTTCATTCGTCAGGCCTACCCTTGGAGTTATCTGAAACTTATTAGGCCATCCATCCATCCGTACAATACACAGCTCATCTCTTCTACGACAATCAATCAATCAATCATCAATGAGCAGCAAGTAGCGTATTCTCCCGCTTCCACGCCCAGTAGTCGAGGTCTATGGGGCGCCGTGAAGAAACAGGGCAGCAAGGTGGGCGCCCGAGCATCCAAGTTGGGCCAGCAGACCAAGATGCGAGCGGAGCTCATGATGATGGATCAAAAGATTACCAAACGCAAGCAACGATTTGGCGTAGATCTGTACGACACTTTGGCGTTGCACGCACGACAAGACCCCGACTTTATCATTGAGAGTCCATCGCTCGAGCAGATTCGTGGTCACTTTGTCACGGCGTTCAAAGATCACAAGGCGCTGCGGCAAAAGCTGGCGTTGCAACAACAAGGATTGGTTGAGCTGGGAGAACGACGCGAAATTGCCTTTCCAGCAGTTCCGGGCGAAGGAGAAACAACGCTGGGTGGAAAAGCCAAGAATGCCGGCAAGGCCGCCAACTTTTTACGAGAAGAAACCATGTACAAGAGCAAAATTGCCGCGGTCGAAGCGGACATGAAACACAACAAGAAGAAATTCGGTGTCGAAGTGTACCTGTTGTTGGTGCATCTGGAAGACAGTCAAAAGTGGTTGTCGCCCGATCGAGATGTCCGATTTCTCTACGATGCGGCACGACGAGATGTCACGCGTCTGCTCATGGAAAAACAACAAAAAGAAACCGACTTGAGAGCTCTCTCTGGAAAGTCTGTTATTTGATTTGATTTTCAACAAACAAACCAACTCTTACTACGATTTTGAAACACACCGTGGGTTTCTTGCTCCTTTGGAAGGAGCAGCGTAACTCAGCTGCTGGTTGGTTGGTTGTTGGCAATTCATCCTTGTTGTTTATACTTTAGATTCTGCATTGCATGCATGTGCCTTGTTCATAAGCTAAAATGAAAAATGATAGCTTCGTATTCGCAGTTTTCCGCATCTCATCAGATCGTGACTTCGTGAAGTTGCAGGTAGCTTGGAACAATCCCCATATGATATGAGACTTTTCTCGGACTATACCGTACTCTTCAGCAGCCACGTCTAGCATGAACATGGGAGTGCTTGCATCAAGCGGGGGAAACTCGGGCTGTGATCCCACTCAGGAACATCCAAGAGAAGCAAAGCGAGTCAGAGTCACCTCTTGCAGCTCCAAAGACATCTGGGCAGCAAGTAATGCTCAGGATCACAACCAATCAACCACCAAAGCAGTCGCCGGTCCATCGCTTTGTGCGCACCAGCGGTGACCGCGGTGGCATGCACAGCTCTGGTGTTGGGATAGTCCTTGAAACCATGGCCTGTGTGCCTCCATTCGAGCTCGACTTTGACCAAGTCGACATCGAGGAGGAGGAGCTCTCAGACGCAAGCTCTGCAATAACTGCGTGAGACAACAATGTACAGGTTGTTGTGGCGTACCGTATTGGTCAAAACTACCTGCTCGATTCGATTCTGCCCATCCTCATGCCTGTTTCACTGTGATGGTTTCCTCCGACGGTAGCAACCTTTTAGTATGCTAGCTATAGCTAGCTAGACCTTTGAGTGTGTCTGATGGGCCACGGATGGCAGAGAGGCCGTCACTCGTGGTGCATCTGTCATGGTGCAGGTGCCACCAATAGTCAACTTGGGAAAAGCGGATCCTTAAAAATCGGGTACTCACAATTCCAATTTCAATTCTCACAATTTCAACTTTCCATTTCTGATTCGATTTCAGTTCTCAACAATTCCAATTAACAATTCCAATTTTCAATCTTATTCCCACAATTCAATTTTCATGTTTCCCATTCCTCACAATCCTTCAGATTTTATTTCTACATTTCCAATTTTCGATTTCTCAAATTCAAATTTTTCAATTTCTCACAATTCTTTTTACGATTCTTCACAATTACATTTTTTATTTTTTGATTTCTCACTATTATTATTTTCAATTTCTCACAATTTTTATTTTGCGATTCCTCACAATTACATCTTTTATAATTTCTCCACAATTACAGTTTTCAAATTTTCAGGATTTCTCACAATTGAATTTGGATTCCTCACAATTACAAATTTTGCTGATTCCTCACAATGTGTGACCTTGTGCTGATCGATGTCTCGCGAGTGATACTCTTTGTTCAGATTATCTCATATTATGTGATTTTGCGTTTTTTTTTTTCCCTTTTCACAATTACATTTTTGGACCATTCCTCACAATTACATTTTTGTTTTCGATTCTCTACTATTTCTATTTAAATTTTGATTTCTCACATTTCAATTTTCTCTCTCTTT